TGATTTTTCAAAACACAATACTAGAAATCAAACAAAAACTAGATGTTGGTGCAGCTGAACAGAGGGATGCAAAAACTTAGCAGGACATAAGCAGAAATATAAGGCAATGCTGAAAGTCTTTGTGTGGGGGTAGGGTTCAGAGGAAGAAATTCTACCGTGAGCATTGCTTTCTGGTTTAGTCTGGCCACCTCAATTATCATCAGCATGAGAGCAAATGAGCAAATGTTAATTAGTTTCACAGTTTCTCTAATTCAGGATGTATAATCAATCTGAACCAGTATCAACAAAACAAGTAGAGGCAAAGGGGTTCTCTGAAGAAATTCATGAACTAAAGTAATCTAATAAGACAAACATGGATGGGCTAATTATATTTATTTGAAGGAAGATTCTCAGTCTGAATAACAACCAAAGTATCAAAGGGTTCGAGATGGTGGCAGTGGTTGTATTTTAAGGTAATAGATTGCTTTCATCTTGTACCACAAAGTAGTTTTCTAGACATATCTAAGTGATATGATTGAGAAGAATTTCATTTGACTTCAATTGTAAGTAATTGTAAGTAATTAAAAATTACAAACATATGGAGAAAAGAAAATATGCAAAAATGTTAGGAAGATGGCTGCAGATAAACAGGCACTCATGAGGTATTGTTTGAAAAGGTTTAAATTATAATTTTTAAAATATTTAATATTTCCTCCACTGTTTAGTGTTGTAACACTTTTCACTTCTTTGTTAAGACATAAATTTTAGCTCGTATCATTTCCTTCTGGAAAGTCTCTTTAATTTGGTGTTTCACTGTTTTAGGCTTTAAATGTCTGAAAAAGTCAAGATTGCTTTTAAGATTCTCTCTCTATATATATTTTTAATCATTTTGTTGGGGCTTGACACGCAATCCATTGTGTATCAAGCACATTTGTACATTTGTTGCTATCATCATTTTCCAAATATTTTCTTTCTACTTGAGCTCTTTGTATCAGCTCCTCATCTTCCCCTCCCTCCCTGACCCTTCCTCCCTCATGGGTCCTTGATAATTAATAAATTATTATTATTATTTCATGTGTTACACTGACTGATGTCTCCCCTCACCCACTTTTCTGTTGTTCTGGCCCCCTGGGAGGGGGCTATATGTAGATCATTGTGATGGGCTCGCCCTCTCTCTCCCACCTTCCCCTTAGCCTCCTGGTAATACTCCTCTCATTGTTGGTCCTGAGGGGTTTATCTGTTCTGGATTCCCTGTTTCCAGCTCTTGTCTGTACCCATGTACATTCTCTGGTGTAGCCGGATTTGTAAGGTACAATTGGGATCATGATAGTGAGCGGGGAGGAAGCATTACAAACTAGAAGAAAACTGTATGTTGCATCGGTACTATACTGCACCCTGAGTGGCTTGTCTCCTCCCCACGACCGCTCTGTAAGGGGATGCCCAGTTGCCTTTGGGTCTTCACTCTGCACTCCCCCTCATTCACACTGATATCATTCTCTGTGGTTTTAAGTAATATGATTATGATATGCATTGATGTAGTTTTATTCCTGTTTGCTATGTCAGTGGTTTGCCTGAAGTACAACGTTGGATGTTTTCTCTTGACTGGTTTCTGGAAAAGGACAGTAAGTGGAGGGGTAGCAAAAATAGAAGGTTCTCAACAGGATGGATTGACCTAGTGACTGCAACAGCAGCGTGCTTTTGGTGTATTGTGTTTCTTAACTTTGTAGGGAGATAATTTTCATCTCAATTGGAAGAGTTTTAGCTATTATTTATTTATATATATATTTCTGTATCCATCTCTCTCTCCTTCATGGGCTCCAATTTTATCTATAATAAGATACTTGAAATTGTTACACACATTATTTACTCATAATTTAAAATTTATTTTTATTTATTTTAGATGTTTTATTGCTTATATATTTATGTTCACTAAACTTTTATAATGTAAATGGTTAATGACTCAATTATTACTTGAAATATTGGGTTATTCAATCTGCTTCTGAAAGTTCCTACTCTTAAAACCTTTATGCAAAAGTTCTGCTCAGCATCCATGGTTTGGCATTGATTCAAAGGCCACTAACAATAACAGTAATCTGCAGCTGATCCAGTTACATGTATTTAATAATCTCAGTCATTCAGGTTTACATCTATTGACAGTTCATTTTGATTTATGTATCCCATATTCCTCCTTTTCTCTTCTTAAAATATTCTTTTTCTAGTTCCTTGAGAAAATTGAATACAATTATAATAACTAACATGCAATGTTCTACCAATTCTATCATCTGTAGATTCATTTATACAAATTGATTTTTCTCTTAGTTATGTGTTTTATTTTCATTCTGTTTTGCATACCTGGTAATTTTTATTGTATGAAAAATATTGTAAACTTAATCTTATTGGGTTATAGAAATTTTCATATTCATATAAATGTATTTGTGTGTGTGTGTGTATACATATAATTGCAACTCAGTTACTTTATATGCTCGATCTTCATTGGTCTTGCCTTTTGTTTTTTTAATGGAGAACAAGAGTTGAGTTTACTCTGGAGAAAATATGGCCTCACTGAAAACAAAAATCAAAATAAAACCACCCTTGTTATCTAGTCATTTCTAACTAATAAGAACCTTCTAGCAAAATCTTTCTGAAAACTATATCTAAAATCCCATGATTTCTAGGTTTCTTTAATATGTATGATAGAAACAATCACTTTTTTCCACCATGTTTGAGCACGAAAATCTATTTCCTCTAATCATTTCAGGTCATTCTTTCTTATGT